ACCGCGCGCGACTCCGATGCGAGATTTCTTTCCCCCGGACGGAGAGGCGAGCGCCGATACCGCGACACCGCACCGTCTGCTCGTTTATTTGCCGATGCGATTGTGAATTCCGTCCGATGCGCGACGACGCGAGCATTCGCGAGGAACAGCGAACACGGACGACTCAATCCATGGAACGGGAACGCAGAAACGAAACGCGATTTATACGCGATCGGCTTCCCCTTTGGCGAATCGCAAAATTATTCATGAGACGTACCATGCGCGTTTAGATATACACGGTCTCCCGGCACGGGACTTCGACGAGCCGACCATCGTTCTTCGCGTAACGCCGACGCCGACGCCGACGTATTAACCGATTAGAAGGATTCTTTTTTCCGGCCGCATTACACGCGTGGATTCGTAAAAGCGGGTAGAGCGAATCGAGCGGGCGAACGAGCGCACGCGATGTGCTCGTTGATTCGTAAGGAATAATCGGATTAAAGGTTGAATGGTAGCTGCTACCGCGCGCGCGAGGTCTGCAGTTCATTGTTGGACGCTGTGACTCGAGAGGGATGAAACCCACGTATGTAGCTATGCGTCGAATACGGGCGAGGCGCGGTTCTCTTTTCTATCGCGACAATCGACGTCGTCGACCGTCGCCGTGGCCCGACCGAATTCGATTCCGAGGGACTGCGCGGCTGCCACGTGCCTCCTATTACATAATATTAGACCTACACCCCCTCGTGCCCCCGCGTCGGCACGTAGCCGAGGACAGAAACTGCGTGACTGCGACGACGATTCGCGATCCCCGATCTCACGCGATCACGTCGACCGTGACGGTATCGATGATCACTACGCGCGGTCGGTCGAAAGGAATCGGTGGTATTTCTTTTTTCAATTCGGAACGAGCGAGGGTTGGAGCTCGCGTCGCGAAACCCTGGGGACTCTTCTAACATTTTTCCCGAAACTGCCGTCAGAAACCGGATTAAGTGTACGAAACGACGTCAGCTCCTTTTACGACCGTTAATTATGCCACGGCAATCACGGCGTTATTCAGAGGAGTCGAGAAACGAAGAGGAGTTTCGACGGCGACGACGACGACGACGACGAGATGCGCGCAGACAATTTTTTATACACGAATTTTTGCTCGCCCTTTGCAACAAACGATGACTCGGTCGATCGTTGGTGCGCGCTCGACGCCGACGTGGAAAGTGTCAATCTGTCGACGACGAGAAAAAGAATCGTAGCCTCGCCGCCGGGGCCTCCAGCCACGACTTCAACCCCGGCAATATCCAGCCGCGAGGCCGCGCGAGACTGGATAACGGCATCCGAAGATGCTATCGGGTGTCTCGCCTGACTAATTATCGCGAACATTATCACCGCGTCTCGGCTCGATTCGGCTGAATCATTGATCGTGGATCGGGACACGGCACTCGGTTCCCCACGGAAATTACCTGTCCCAGTACACGAATCAGCCCTACATACGTTAATTCCCAAAAAACCACACCCGATCAGAGCTTTCGAAACGCGTCCTAAGTCTATAGGAATACTTGTATCCCGCGCGTATACTTGAGTCGTCACTGTTTATCCAGCTTTCCTTTGTTAATTAAATGCGAGCTGGAGCAAAGCGTGTGTTGCGAGGAAATGCAAAAGCGACGAGAATCTCCAGGTTGATTTTTGCCTGAATCTATAGGAACCTCGAAGAGAGAACGAATTCCGGCGCCTGAGTCTAACTCTTACAATTTGATCACTCGAAAATCCATAGAAACACGAACCACGTCTACGGACGTAGAACTTGAATCGGAATTCCTTTCGCCCTTCGCTGATATGTACGATCGTTTTTCGACCCATCGCCGTTAGACAGCTACGCGTCGAAGTGAGTTTCTGGAGCTATGAAAATATCAGACACTGTGAGTTACGTGACGCACGCTATAAAAACTGAGACTGGTTACATTCCCACCTCGTGACGAAATGCTGTTGCAGGTGGGTAACGCTATCAAAACCGTACGGTTCCTCTATTCATCCATTGTGACTGTTGACCATACAATGATTTTCTTTCTCGAAGATCGATCGTTTGCCAGAGCTACGATTTCGATATCGCATCGGGTCGCATGGTTCACGGTGATCCGTCGAGAACGAACTCGGGGAAAGTATTTATGAATCGAGATGACGAACGCGCCGTTTTCCTGCTCGCTTCGTTTCGAGCAACGAAAAGTCACCGCCGTGATCGGGTCGGCATCGACGAACGTCAAAGGACGTTAGCAATCAGCGGGAGAGAGAAATTTCGTAAGAAACAGGGAATCTCTTTACTGTTTAAAAGCACTTTGGTTCGTCTTGTCGTGGGAGAGCGACACTTCGATAGAAGCGCAGAAGCGAAACGAGCAGGGATGGGAGGAGCTCGAGAACGGGGAAAAGAGAGGACTCGAGAGGAAAGGAGAAGGGACTCGAGGGAGAGGGTGGGTTTCGTTAGGTCGGGCGCACAGTTTTGATGATAACGAGCGGATTTGCAATCACGACTACATTGTGCAGGATCCTGCTGTTAGCTAACTTGAAGAGGGATGAAACTCAGACGAGCCGAGATCACAGAGCAGGAAGCTGATCGCGCGGGCTAGACGGAAGAAGAGAGACGCGCCGTTGGGCGTTGTGCCGGTGAACCTCTCTCCTCCTCGTTCCTTCTTCGAGAATGCTCGAAAGTGGAAATCCCGAAATCCCGTACGCCGTCGTACGTCGCAATCGTCGACAGTTTAGATATCACCCTCCGCGCATCGAGTATCTCCGCATCCAACCGTTTCACGTCGTAAATGTAAACGCTAACAATTATACCTGTTTGTCGACGAACCGAGCTCCTACGTTCCTTGGATTTTCCTTTTCATTATAATTTTAATCCTGGTTTCGTACGAGGAACGTACGGTTCGCGTGCACAGCAGGCGGTTCGGACGACAATGAACAACGCGCCACGCTTGTTTTCTCCAATTCCTATTCCTTTCTCGAGTGTCGAGAGTATTCGACGAGAAGTCCCTTGGCTCTCCTTTATGATGATAATGTCACGTGGACTCCGGGAAATTCCCTTTGGGAAATACTTAAGAGAGGGAAACATGGGAAATATTTAAACAAGAGCCCTGCGCAGGTCTTCCCTCTACTTATTACGAGCAGAATTTACGAGATCACGCTTTCAGTACCTTTGTATTTAAAAACCCCCCTCTACCACCACTAGGGCTCGTCCTAGTTGTGATCCGTTACTAAACCTTCCAGGTAACGCTGCCAGTAGACCCAGTACCTGCGTAGCATAATTGCATTTCACGTGTAAAGTGAGTAGTGCGTGGCTAGGTGTCCGAAGGTAGAAAATAAACGGCGGATATCGAAGGGATTCTCGACGGTATCGATCAATGTGACAAAAGAGAGAAAGGCGACACACGCGGTTTTGGCTGTCCCCGACTGCAACGTCGTCGTCGTCCTCGCGGCGTCGAGACACCGCACAGTTGGAACCCCGTGGCTCTTTTTTCGAGGGTCCTCCGCGTGTCCTCGCAAGATACCACCTTTGTCCCGGCTCGCACCCACCACCGGAATAATTCGACCGCCATTTCTCTCGCTTTATGCCGGGTAAGCGTTACTAATGATCCGTTCCCTGCCGATCGCAGGGATCCACACGCTCCTCGCTCGTTGGACGCGTGCAAGCGCTAACAAATCGGCTGCACCGGGTCTCGTATCGAGAAACCGTACACCGAGGGCAGCATTTGTTTCGAAGAATGTTAAGGGCCCGAGGATTAATCGATGAACGGCGATTCGATTCCTTTTTCTTGGCCTGATCGCGACAGAGTGTGCTGCGTCGAGAAGAGCGATAATTGCGGAAAGAGCTGGATTTCACGGACGCGTCGCGGCAGTCTAGTGGCAATAAAAAGAAAACGGACGCGGTCGGTCGCTTGACAGTTTTTCTGGGCCTCGAAAAATTCATATTCATCATTAGGCGTGGGCGTATACGGATCGGTCGACTAGCTCCCCGTGAATGCGTATCCCAGAACCAACACACAGGTACGGACGTTTCGATATTAGAAAGAGAGGAGGAGAGCCGCGATAAAAGACGTTAGAGTCCATTCTCGGATGATTTATGTGTCGGCGTAGCAGAAATACAAACAGGTGCTCGAACCCCCTCGGGAATCCAAACTCATCGGAAATAAAAAGGAGACGATGAAATATAAAATATGTATCCACCACGCGTAAATATGTTGGAAGGGGATGGCGCGTCCGTCCGAGGGTAACCCGTAACTAAACGGTCATCGGTCCGGTCGTCTTTTAACTTATTATATCGAGCTATTCCGACACCTCTCCTCCTCCCATGTATAACGTGCCGAAAAGTTAACGCGATCGACGATAGTTTAGAAATTATTTATCTTCGTTTATTAAATACTTCCGAGAAAGCAAACGTCTGTGTTATTCTTCCTTTACGTAATCGCGTATTTACCATTTCAAGGTTCCATTCCCGAAGTGCAAACACGAACCATGTACATACCTATATCCGATACGTGACGTTCGGTATTATCGAAATCGAAAGGTTTCAATAATAATAAAAATAATAATAATAATTGCGAAAGAATGATCGGGCGACGGTTCTTCCCTAAGGTGCCACGTCTCGTGGACGCGTCTCTGATAGTACGTACAACTCGGTAACTAACAATGAGTATACATCGAGCATTACTTTACGCTTTGGCGTGGGTGCAGGAGTATCTGGGGCCAGCAGCGCATGTGACAGAGGCGTGAACCGATGGGAGGAGCTTGATTCTCGTTTTCGCTTCGAAAAGCTACCCCGAGCTACCTCGGCATCAACCCCGACTCGGGTCACGGTTCCCCTCCATCTCGAACACCGACGCAGCAGCTCATGTGCACGTACACGAGAGAACGGCCTGAAAGCCCGGTGCAAACGCGAGGAATCGGGGCTTCGTGTTGGTGAGCCATCGAGCCGAGGAGGATTGAAAGAGCGTGGAAGGGGCAGAATCGAGGATGCCGATGCCAGTCTTCCCCGGGCCACGGAACCGAATAGGGACCGATTTTCTGATCCTTTTGCGATCTTCTTTTCTATCACCGCCGATATCATTTGTTCTCTCTCGGTTTCCGGGTTGTAGATTTCAAACGATTCACGCGGCTCGTTGGAATCGCGATGGTAACGCGAGTTTCGCGCAAAGACGAAGTGTTGTGAACTCGGTGACCGATGGTAGCCGTCGTAGGTGACTCTTTCGGTTGCATTGCGATCATGGAATTGGAACTAATTTGGTAATTCGACGGACACGGGAACGATGAACATGAAGGTGAATGCATTACGTTCGGATTACTCCATTTGAAAAAGATTTTAAAATTCAGTAGAGTAGATGCTTGAGTATCTTATGTCATTAATTAGATGGAGAGGAAACCAGGTACGTTCTAATTTGGAGTATAAGTAAGCCAGCTTCGCGAACGCGAAATGTATAGACAAGTGTAATCTATTTGTTTAACTGTCGGGACGGAAATTACGCACGAATGTTTCCACGTCGCACGACGTCGACGTAATTTTTCCGACGAATGAATACCGCGATTCTAACGAGATCGCGATTATCATGGTACGCGTAACGTGGGAGATGAGTAAGAGAGATGAGGATGCATCCTTAGAACAGTTGAAACCGTTTAGTTTCCGGGACGGGTGTCTAGGAGATTATTTCGAAACGCGTATCGGGGAAAAATGAAGGGGAACGTACGAGCAGGGCGCGATAAATCACGGAAGAACGGTACTCGATCCGTTGGAGTTAAAACGTCCGTCTGCACAGCCGCGGCCAATGACTGATCGGAAATATAAGTACTTAACTACGGGATGATCTTCGAGGTGTCCGGTAGTCGATAGCGAAGCCCGTTTGACCCCTTCGCTCTCGCATTTCTCACTTTGTCAGCTCATCTCCGTCACCCCTGACCGTTGACGAACAAAATATTACTCCTATTATTCTTCTTAACTACCTGCTGATTGCATTCTTCGAGGATCGCGTCCACCTACGAGTGGCCGATTCAAAAATTCCGATACCCTCTGCGCGCGACGCCGTTCGTCGAGAACGAAGAACGAATTCGTTTCCTCGTGCCGGAGACAATCGCGGAGGCTGCGATGACTGATGCGAAATCAACGGGAAGGAAAATTGAATAAATATTTATGTAATCTTTATCGCGGTGCTAAATGGATTCGAAATTGGACCTGACCGGATTCGATACGCCTGTATAATGAAATTCATAAGCTACAATTACGGCCGTTGACGCACCTGGTACAGTGCTTCGCGATATTTATCACGTGATAATGCGAATCAAGTTTTGAAACAATAACGTTGTAAGTCTTCTCGTAAGTCCCCAATTCTAATCGTGAATACAGGTAAGAGGGGTAAGGTGCCCGTTCGCTTCTGTCGTTTCGCATACCGATAGCTTTCTCTTTCTTAAAAAGAAAATTTGCATCGCGAGCGTTAAGACGACAGACGTCGCGAGACCGACGGTAAATTTTTAGCCAACATCGAATCAATCTCTGGTCATATTTTTTTACGCGACGTGCGTACACGTACGTAGGTGTACCTACGGCGATGGGCTTCGGTATCTAGTATTTAATTGTGAGTATACGTATAGGAGAAACGTGGCTCGCTTTCCGAGGGAAGATCGAAATGCCAGAAGGTATAAATCACAGGTAGTCTGCCTTCGGCAGATCATAAATCAATGACCGTCCAGTTAAACGTGAAATGATTACTGGCTGACGAAAGAAACCGCGACGAGGATGGAAGGGAGGGACGATTTACAGGGAGGGCCTTGTCTTCGAAATTAGCTGTCGCGTCGATGTACCACCGTCTTTTTTCTTCTGCTCACCTCGTCCGCTCGTATTCTGTTTTCCGACCCTCTCGACGAATGTCGAATGGGGGTGGCGAACGTTTATTTCGTCGAGTCGCGGTTGCACACACCTGTGTACGAGCGAGTCTCGAAAGGGGCGAGTAAGTCGAACGATAATTAACTCATTGATTGCTCACTGAGACGAACAATGACCATTATGCATATTACTCGTGTACCAATTAATATTATCGGGGCGAGAAAGTCGCGGCGGTACGTACCCGCGTCTGTCTTTGAGAGCGATAAGAAAAAATCGCGTACAGATCAGATACGTGCTATCTGCGGGTCTATCTCTCTATGCCCTATCCGATGACTTTCTCTCTCCTCTTCGACGTCTCTGTCGTCCTCGTCCCTGCCCTCTCCTTCGGAACCCGAAGGAATCGAAAAATGCAAATCGGGCCGCGGCAATTAATTATAGGAAAACGTTATTTTTATTATTAATAAAATACTCGTTTGTGCACATACGCGTGCGTTTGCGTACGTAACGATGCGAATCGTTGCACCGTCGATCGGAGAGGGACAAGTCGAGGAGATCGGGGCCAGAGCAGCGGCATCATTTATCAGCCGGCGGCCGCGGCGCGGGCCGACTGCTCGTTTATTATTTCACTTTGCCGAGTATTAATTGAGATTTGGAGCCCGCAGCCAACCTTTCCACACCCGGAAACGAACGGATCGGCCCGTGATCCTGTTCGCGCTCCCGCGATCTTTACGCTCAGGCTCTGACGTGACCCTGTCTTTCAACAATTTCTGTGAATCCGTTGCAGACCGAGATCGAGACGGAGACCGAGTGCTCGAACAACAACGATAACAGCACCAACAATAACAATAACGTGAACGTAAACAATAATAACGTGGCGAACGCCAAGAAGACTGGTAGCAGTTTAATCGGGAAGAACGAGAACCAGCAGGATGGGATCGGACTGGGCATAGGGATAGGGATAGGAATAGGGATGGAGATGGAGATGGAGTGCGGTGGTTGCGGAAAAAGCGTTCACGAGCGAACGGTCCTCTGTGTCGGGGGTCGTACCTGGCACTCGAGGTGCCTGAGATGCTGCGCTTGTGCCAGGCCTCTACACGATCAGCACTCTTGCTTCCTCCGAGGGATGCGGCTATACTGCAGACAGGACTATGCCTTGTAAGTACAACCTTTGCTTCCGACGATCGGTGCTTCTCTTTTTCGACGAGAGACGAGTCACGTATACGACGCGCCGGGCCTCCCTTCGAAGCCTCCTCCCGGTGCGTTGAAGCTTCGAGGAGTCGGTGCACTCGTTCATCGATCGCCAAATCGCGCGACCCATCGTCCGATCGGGAGCGACAGTTCGGTCCAAGGATTATCGATGCGACTCGAATAATATCCTCAGTGATCGGAGACACCCTACCGACACCGGCTTAACGTTTCTCGACTACCACTCCCGGACGGCTCCTGGAAAGAACGATCGTTCGGGACAGTCTCGGCGTACGCCGATACATCTCGGACACCCTGTCGAGTCCCCCTCGGATAGATTTCGTTCCTCGACGATTAAAAAACGACGTTCAGGAAACGTCGCTCGGAGTAAAAATAATTGGAACGATTAGGCTAAAGGTGACTCGGATTTCGAATCGCGCGGTTACATACTCATCGTGGATGAACAGATATCCACGTTCGAGACAGGGTCGAGAAATTCGCCAGTGGGTGATTAATGTCTTCCGATGTACCCTTCTTCTCGAATCCGTCTTCCTTCTCCTCCTCCTCCTCCTCCTCCTCTTGTTCGTCTTCTCTTTCGGACCTCACACGTACAGTCGGCTATTCACGTCACCGGACATATACCTACGTATCCCATGCATGTTCGACCGCGAGCTGCGAGTCACGTTGCCGAGCACGAATAAAGGACATCTCAACTGACGTTTCCTTACGCAGCCGCGCCGCGATAAAGAAAAGGCCGGATCGGTGACGATCGTTTCGATCGGATCTTCTTATACATTAGGCTACACGAACGTTCGCAAACGCGCTTTCCAGTCGACACGCGTTCCCCTCGAAAATCAAACTAAACATTTTCGCCGCGAACGAGTCACCACGTTTTCCCTAAAATCGTCGGATAAAAAGATACAACGAATTACACGGAGAAATAAATTCCGGTCCCTCGCTTAATTCTCAATTCGGTCCGTTCGGTCCGCGCGTCGTGTCGCGTCGTCGTCGGCCGCGCGCCGCTTTACTTAATCACGACCTTATCGTTTCTGCCTTTAATGGCACTTAAATGCGGGAGCCTCTCCGAGGGACAGACGCCGAAATCGAGATCGAGACCAAAAACAAAACGAACAATCTACGCTTTTCCTGCTCGATCGTATTTTAAGTGGCCCGGAGGATCGCTCTCGCTCGAAATTGTTCGAAACGCCGCGACGCGATCCGATACATGTCGCACGGAAAACATTTGTCTCGTTACGTTTACACCTGGACGATCGTGACATGCGTGCGTGCGTGCGTGCGTGCTTGCGACAAGTGTATCGGTGAAAACAATGATTCAAGCGTGAAACAGCTCGGCCGTCGTAATTTATCTTCGCGGTTCGTTCGATATCTCCGGCGATATCGAAGATCGGGATCGAGAGCGTTCGAACCCGGGACGGAGGAGAAGGAGAGAGAATTCCTTCTCTCACTCCGTCGTTTCCGCAGAGGTCGGATAGCGACCGACTTAATCCCCTGTTGACTTATAGGGCCCGCCTATGTGGAAGAACAAATGAATAAATTAGGGCGGGGTCGTTTGGTAGCCGATGTACGGCCCTGAAGATTTATTAGATACTCGATACCAGTTCCCAATACACCTCGCTCCGCCGGCTATGCGCCGACTCTTCTTCTTTGCCCGTTTGTCCGGCTACTTACCGCTTACCTCGCTGCTCGTTCGCTCGTCCATGATCCTCTCTTTCGTTTGATCTATTACGCTGACCGCGGCTCGCCGTAAGTGATCAAGTAGTACTTACGATTCTATACTACCCCGATTCGTCGCGACGGACGTCGAGGTATAAAGATCGCGTTACCTTTCACGCTTCCCTCGTTTCCGACAGAAGACAGATCGGAAGATACCTCGAAAGTCCTCGGTAATTATAGTTCGCGGTGATGCTTCGGGCAGCAGCCGGTGGGAGAACAAGAATCGTTCGGTGTTTCTCCAGTTTCGTAACGGTGAGAGGGAGTATCGGGGAGATCGATGAATACTAATGCGGTCTCGAAGGGAACGCGTGCATGCTTCTAGGCGTGTTCCGTGTGCACGATCACCATAACCAATAATGCTCGAAAATACGTTGAACGCGACGGCGCGGCGGACGGTGACTGTGCGATTCGTCGTTCACCGACTAATCCTTCCGCGGCTTACCATATTTTTCCATACAATAACCAACCCCTCGGTTGTCGTGGCATTTCTCTTCTTATTCCCGCGTCTCCTCCGTGGTCTCGTTCCTCTCCTTAATCTCGCGTCCCCGTGATCGTGCCACGACACGCTATCGATGGTATCGACGCGCAAGGTGTTATTGGAAAACCAGCTAATTACACGAGGGAATATGTATCATGGAGAAGGTCGGCGGATGTTCAAAGAGCTCGAGTCATTTGTAGGGTGCGAGGGAAAGCACAGGAGCGATCGCGGACCGTTCAGATAATCTGGACGTAATCTGACGGGCGAATTGGCGACCCTTAAACGCGCGGTTCGTGGAGGACCGGGAGTGGGCTGAGAGTAGGTAGTAGGTAGTATGTTAATGAGGACAGGGACATCGGATTCTCCCGCAGCACGGAGGTCTTCGGCGACCGATAGAGGAGTCGGTTGGTATGTTTCAGAACGTTTGGCGCGAAGTGTGCGAAATGCGGTCGGAGCGTGGGCGCGGGGGACTGGGTGAGGCGGGCCAGGGAGAGAGTGTATCATTTGGCTTGTTTCGCCTGCGACGCGTGCTCGAGGCAGCTCTCCACCGGCGAACAGTTCGCCCTGCTGGATGCCAGACTGCTCTGCAAAGCTCACTATCTGGACGTGGTCGAGGGTAACAACACCTCGTCCTCGGAGGACTGCGACTCGGAGCACGGTGGCAAGGGCAGCAAGACGAAGAGGGTCAGGACGACTTTCACGGAGGAACAGCTATCGGTTCTGCAGGCGAACTTTCAGCTGGACAGCAATCCCGACGGCCAGGACCTCGAGAGAATCGCTCACGTCACGGGCCTGAGCAAACGAGTCACCCAAGTCTGGTTCCAGAACTCGAGAGCCAGGCAGAAGAAGCATAGCGGGAAGATCAAGACGCAAAGTGAGTTAGCCGCCACTTATACGTATTTTATTTGTTGTTCTCGACCCTCACGATGCGGTACCACGCGCGCTCTATGAAACGGAACGGGTCGATCTCCCGTCTCGTTCGTCGATCGTTACCCGGGAAATTTAGAATTACGTATTGCCATGGCAGTGCACCATTCGCCACCGATTCAACATCATCCGGGGGATTTGTATTCGACCGGAGTGAACATGGTCGGCGCCTATCTGGGTGGGTATCAAGGTGGCAGCGCGGGAAGCGAAAGTCCTGGTAGCCCGTTGACACCTCTCACACCCTTGACGCCTCTGACGCCGACGACGACGACGACGACGCCCAGCCAGCTTCAAGTCCAGTTCTGTCATCAAACGGGCTGATTCCGATCGACTGCGTTTCATATCCTACGTTCATGATTCGCGGTATCCAATATTTTGTACGTTTCGACGTTTTGTACATAGGATAGATACGAACAGAATTCGTATCGGAGATTTTTAATAACTTTACGAATAGACGAAACAATTATTTATTCCGTTCCTATCATTCTCGTTAATTATTCTTCGTAATAGATCTTAGTTGCATTCTACCAGCGGTTACCTACCTTATTTTTACAATAACAATGTACATACGCGTAGATCTGTCATTTACTCACGATATCTGATTACCTTAGGTGTGTATTTGTAACTTTTGTACATAAACCTATGAGAAGTCTTTTAACGAGTATAGTATGTAGTCGATATCGGTCCGATGCGACGCTGTATCCACTCATTATCGCAATACTGTAACCGTACTGTTAATAATAAAAACTTCTTTTACTGTTCACACGTGTTTCCCGATTCGCAGAAGGGTGGAAAGGAAACGTTCACTCAGGCGAACGAATATGTGCAACATTTTATATTTCATACTTATACAATACTTACAATTAGTTTACAATATTTACATGACGGTACACGTATATTAAATAATGTCCCTTTTACGATTACATTACAATTAATTGTCTAAACACTGTAAAAGATACTTTCGTTCGGAACACTGCTTCGTGATATTCCCCGCGCGGTCTCGAGAGGAAACGAGACCCCTCGGGACTACCTCGAGACCGCTTCGCCTAATTTCTCACTTTCGTTAAAACGACACCCCGATTACATCGAGGATCAGCGACGACTAACAGTAAGTAATACGCGTAGATAACTACAACCGTTCGTCTCGTCCACGTCTATTCTAGGGAAAGAAGGAAAATTACATTTACCCCTCTTTCAGGACGTCGAAGGATATTTCGCGATCGACTACGTTGAGTCGACGAATCAAGTTTTCCGATTTTATGGAACGCCATTCGAATCGTTCGTAGATTTTGAAAAAAGCGAAGCTTTCGTCTCGTTTCTATGCGCGTGTCCGCTCATCAATATACGCTTTGGATAACGTTACGTTCAATATGCAATGCGAGAGAGCCAGTCTTGTAGAAGTGACGCACGCCTGTACATTCTGCTCGAAGTTCAACAACGATTTGGGCGGATTTCGTTTGAAATTATAGATCATACAAAACGTTCGGTACACGCTTTCCGATCGTTTGAAGTATATCATCTTAACGACGATCGTCGATTCCCAATAATATCCTCTTATGACTCCCAATCAAGTACAGTTACCCTGCTATACGTACATATAAAACGTCGTTTGAAGGAGTTAATTTAGCTTATTGCAGAGCATAGGTACTAAAGTAGTGCGGCGAGTAGGGAACGGAGGGACGCGCGTTGCCAAAGAGAAATTGTCTCCTAACTTAAAATCGTCGCGAGACGGCGAGACGGAATAAATACGAATTCGATGGTGTGGAATATTGCGGAAAACGTTCACCGAGGAAGCTTGATCAACGCTACGCGAGAAGTACTATTTACAATGCGGCTAAACCGTAGGTAGCAGAGGCGCGGCGATTAAACCTCGTTCGGCATCGACAACATCATAGAATCTTGCGAGAGTTCGTCCATCGACTGTTCCGAGCCTGAAGACAGAGTTGACGGTGTTGCGATAGATAGCAGACCTTTTCAAAGCAAAACTTCGATTTCCTTGGGTACACATATCGCTCGATACACATAGTATTTTCATCAAATTGCTGTTCCCACGTTATGATTCGAATAGTTGTACGCGTTTCGGTTTCACAATTCTCGACGCTCCGTCCGCGTTGCATAGATAGGTGAATTACGGATCGAGAGTCAAGTGCCGATTTCGCGCAACAAATTCCCCGTGCATGCAGATAGATCTATGCCATTCTTACCGTGATTCTGATAAATCGATGGCGCGGGGCTCTTGCACGTAGCCGGGCTGACGATCAGCTGGGCCGACGCCGGTTGCTGCCCGTGATGGTGGTGGTGGTGATGCTGCTGCTGCTGCTGCTGCTGATGTTGAAACGAATAGGTCAGATGTAAATTGATGTGTCGACCGAAATCGCCCGCGGACGCAGTCGAATTCGGCGATGATTGATGAACTGCAACAGCCAATAATGATCGTCCTCTTCGATATTCGAATATTGCACTCGCATCGCAACGATGTTGGAAATCTTTTCAAACTGAGTTTACTCGTATTCGTCTCGGAAATAGATTTGAAACGGGTTTGGGTGTACGGCTCTCATCGAGTACGCTACCCAAACGATTGTCCCAGTGAAAAACAAACGATAAAGAAAGAGCAGGGAACAGTAGACAGGTAGTAGAGCGAGTGCTCTACACCGGAGAGATTTAAAGAAAGTGGAAAGTGAAAGAAACAAACGCAAGAAGTACCATGTTGCCCTTTCATTTTGCCCGTGTGCAGATGCTTCTTCTGCCTCGCCCTAGAATTCTGGAACCAAACCTGAGTAACTCTTTTGCTGAGTCCGGTCACATGCGCTATCCTCTCGAGGTCTTGCCCGTCCGGGTTACTGTCCAGTTGGAAGTTCGCCTGAAGTACGGATAGCTGTTCCTCCGTGAACGTCGTTCTCACTCTCTTCGCCTTGTTACCGCCTTTGTGCCCGCTCTCGGAGTCACCGCCTTCTGCGAAACGTACCAATTATACGTGTTCCGTTTTCCGCGCACCCGTCGATCTCACCCTCCGAGGTTCCGTCGTGAAACGCGTGACACGGCCAGGGAGACCGAGAGGTGGATGTTCTTTTTTTTAATCGAGTTTCAAACGCGAGTGACGGTCTCACCATCGGAGGAAGTGTTGTTCCCCTCGACCACGTCCAAGTAGTGAGCTTTGCAGAGCAGCCTGGCGTCTAGCAGGGCGAATTGTTCGCCGGTGGAGAGCTGCCTCGAGCACGCGTCGCAGGCGAAGCATGCCAAGTGATACACTCTCTCCCTGGCTCGTCTCACCCAGTCCCCGGCTCCCACGCTTCGCCCGCATTTCGCACACTTTGCGCCGAACGTTCTGACAAACGAGAACCAACAATGGTAACGAAATTTCGAAGATCGAAGAGTCAGTCGATTTGCTGACGAGCTAAATAACACCGTATATCTCGGACCTGTGTCTCTGGTTAAATAGCTGGGCGTTCCGCTGATGATACTCATAGTACATGTAAAAAATCGCGATTTTCTCGGAGACGCTATTAATAATCGCGATGGGCGAGTCTACGAGGAGTCGTAATATTGAATATTGGAATGAATAATTATTTACATTACTTTCTCGTTTCAAAATTAATGATCGATTTAACTAATTCATCGATTACCTCTTTGAACGATTCATCCATCCTTTTGCTCGTATCAAGTACACCGGCAATCACGTATACGACATTGATGACAGACGGATCGTGAGCAGTAATATTCGCGTTCGAGAGAAACGTCGAGAGAAAATTCAAATCGCGGCGCGTCACCATTAGCGGTGATCGAGTGCGAAACCGGAAAATTATCGAGAGACGTGGAACGAAGTACGCACGTGTACGGGGCGATTATCGATACTCGCAAGGAATAATTCGTAGTCGGAGCAGAAGGATGCTTCGAGATAACGCGTCGCGCACGAATGCGCGTTTGCTTCGAACTAGCCGCGTAGCCTGTTCAACGAACAAGTGACAAATAAATGATCGGTGCGTTCGCGTGTACGGGTAAGCTCGAGGAGGCGCTGGCAAAAACGACTATGAGCGAACGAGGGAACAGACGGAGCGAAAGGATGAGTCGAGCGGTGAGAGAAGGAGGAAATGTAAGGAAGGATGAAAAGAGGTGTTCGAAAAAGAATTAAGCAGCAGCGGCGACGACGGACTGAGAAGAAGAAAGTCGAGAGAGGAAAAGTTCGCCGTTGGAAAACGATCTTCTGTCGTTTGTCATTCTGACGAGAGGAGGATTCGTAAAGACAGGGGGAGACTTTCTACGAAAGAGAGTTAAAGCGCTAATACGTTAATTACGCTTGACCCGATACTCGGATCCTCCGTTACCGGATTATACCGGCGATCCGACTGCATTTTTACCTCGCGAGCTTGCTCGCTCACAATTCCGAGGATCGATGCGCGACGATCCACGGAACTCCGTCGCGTCGGTGTCGACAACAAAATCCTCACACCCTCCGGCCTCGTTCGTCGTTTTCTTCGTTCTCAACCGGACACCGACTCGACATCGACTTCGGTTGGAAGCTCTCGCGAGAAGTTCACGACGCCCTTCTCCGCCGTATAGGATTCGGTGAAAAAGTTTCAGCTCGAAGCTAGGCCGATGTAAACGGTAGCCGTGTAGTTTGCCGGTACACGATCGGCCGACACGACGCACGCACACACGCGGACCGGATGAATGGGTAGGAAGGTGGGTGTGTTGTGGGTGCAAACACAGAGGCCGGCGCGGTGTCGAGGCGAGGCGAGCCAGGAGCAGGAGCAGGAGCAGCACCGTGGCTTCCTCGGCGTGTCCGGTGTGGTCGGTGTGCGCGCCGCGACCGGTAATTAAACAACGACTAGCGGCCATTAGCCCATTATCATATTCATGAACACGGAAAGTGCATCCCGATTCCTTCTTCGAGGCCTGGCTGTTTATACGGCTCCCGTGTCTCCTTCTCCCTCGCGGACGTATCTTATGGGGGCCACGCGACCACCCCGGTGGCCCCGCCACCCCATTACGATCAGAGAAAGTAGCGACTTTACACGGTGAGGATGCACCCACCATAACTATTTCACCCGCCGCGCCGCCGCTCGCCGCCAGCATTCGCGAGATTAAGAGGACGATCCGCTCTCACTGAGAGCGACCGGATAGCATACAGATATTCTCAGCCGCCGCGCCGCGTCGCAGCTAATGGAGTCGATTGTTTTCTATGAGTCGACTGTCCGTGAACGCCGCTTCACGCGGTACGTAGAGGGGAACGGAAGGGAACGCGGTTGCACCTAGCTAGATACACAATTTATGAACCCGTGTTGTAAATTGGAAATGTTTCACGGATAAAACGAATGCGTTTTAATCCTATTGTCTCTCGACGAACCGAGGCACCGATTCATTGCGCTCTCGCGAGACTATAACTTTCTCGTCTCGCCCACGCGTACGTCTAGCCGGGGATTTGAATTTTGAGCGAACGATTGTTTTATCGTAATGTCGATTTAGATCCCCGCGGAACGGATTAGCCCCTGAAAGCTCCTTACCGAGTCACAAAGCTCTTTGTTTTCCCTCGCGTTCCTTCCCACTTATTCTTCTTATCACCCACCACGTAAGGTGTAAAGCGCGGATAGTTTTAGTTCCCGATCATTTATCACCGGCGAGAGGCGTAAATCGAAATAGTGGCCCTCCCCCCTGCCCCCGCTCCACTGCGAGTCCGGTTGTCGACGAGTCTTAGGGTCGTGGATCCTGTCGACCGGGTCATCGTAAGCCAGCATTACGAGGCGAAAAGCGTCAGTCGAAAAAATTACGCGGCGGATTCCTGAGGACCTCCCGCACACGGCACGCACCACCATGCCTCGACCGTCCAAAAGTCCACGAAGAAACAGGCGAATCGGAATGCCGATAGGACCCGACACGATCATTGCCAAATTCTACGATCTTTCGTCGATTCAAATTAAATCGGTGACCGTGGGCGCACGTATCATCCGATATCAAGATTTGGAGCGCAACAGCCGGACGACCGAGCCTACGCTGAGTGATTGGCAGTTGGATAAACACGTTCGAAAGTCTTCGACTCGAATACTTGGCGTACAATCGGACAGTCACTGCGAGCTTCTTTCACCTCGTTCTTTCATCCTCCCTTTCTTTCTACGAAAATATCCGAGACAAACCGTCCTGTGTTATCGGAAACGCGTGTCGGACAACGCGTGTACGCGAATCGAACGTTTTTCCGAACAGGAGCAGGAACGAAGGACGTAAACGTTGGAAATCGGTTCGCCCCAATTTATAGAAACGTTACCGCTAATTTATGTTCAGCAGTGGAAACCAAACTGGTTTGCGCGCTAAGAATTTTGCTAACGAGAAATTTCCATAGTCAACGAGCGAGGAGCATGCAACGGATCCTTATTTATAGTATCGATATCGCAAACCTAGTATATTACTCTCTTAGCAGATTTTATTATTCCACGATGGTAGGTAGCTCCGTTGATTTAAATATTAGAGTTAACGGACGTCTACTTTTATTTTCTCGTTATCGGGTGACACGTAGGCAGCTAAGTAATTGAATATCTCTCGATCGTTGAGTTCCCGTTCGAAGCGAATACGCATCCCGACGACAAGACGGTATCACGTTCTGCTAGTCCGGATTTATGGTTCCCAGTACGCGCGGTGTACGCAGTTACGCTCTCGCGATAGCTGTGCCACGCTCAGCGTACACTCGTTCGACGGAACACGATATCTTTATCATTTCCTTAATTGATCCGTTCAATTTCTTTCGCCCGAAAAGCACGCTGGATCGTCCCGTTCGCGCTTAAAAGGCAGCGACTACCACCCCGTTCCGTTCGGTCTAGCATAATCGCAGAGAAGTACGTAAGAATCGATCGCTTACAAAGCGTAGTCGTGCCTGCAGTAGAGTCGCATTCCCTTGAGGAAGCAGGAGTGTTGATCGTGGAGAGGCCTGGCACAAGCGCAGCATCTCAGGCACCTCGAGTGCCAAGTACGGCCACCGACGCAGAGGATCGTTCGTTCGCGAACGCGTTCTCCGCATCCACCGCACTCCATCACGTTCCCTGCGATTTCCGGTCCCGATCCCGCTGATCCCTGGACCGTTCCTGACCCGAGGAGGCCGCTGTTCTCGGCCGTGCTCAGATTCGTCCCGGTGCCCTCGCAGACGCCGCCGTCGCTCGTTACGTCTTCCACCTCCGTCTGCGAATAGAAAACGTTCAATCCCCGATCGATCTCGATCAAAGATCGTTTACGCGACTCATCGTACGTTTAAAACTACTGTATCTCGGTGTCTGTAAAACATGTAGATATCCGTAAAATGTAACAGCAGCGTAGCGAAGCGAAGGTCTCCGTGATCGGTATTGTGTCTCGTCTGAATCCGTACGCGACCTGACAGAAAACTGAACTGTCGGATGTTCTTGTCACGCCGTGTCGCGTCGCGTTTGATGGATGCGCCCGTCCCGATCGATCTGTCCCAAGTTACAACGCGGTTTCCCATATATTCGTTTCTGTTCGTTTCTCGCAATCCCACCGAACACAGTTCCTTCGCTTATGCTCCACCATGACGACGTTCACACAGATTTGTAGGTATTTCGGCAAGGAGGGCCATGAACGCGATATCCGAAGACTGGTCTCATCGAATCCCGGGCTAATTCAAAGTGTACGGCCTGTAACCGGTACAGACAGCTGGTCAAGCGGAGAGGACACCCCACGGAGAGGCGTTAACACGCGAACCCAATGTAACCACGGAACTCGACGTTAGGAAGGTACAGACGTACATATGTACGCATGTACATGTACCATGTATGTACACATTGGACTCGAGAACCCTCCGACATTCCCTTTCGCGCGTTGTTACCTGTTACGTTACGGTAACACGCATGCCCGCGTGCAATGGAGGTGGCTTTATGCTTTGTCGCCGGCTACGAGGGACCCTCGAATCCTATGAGCAACGGGACCACCCCGTAACGTCCCCTCGCTCACATGCCGAAACTCCGATGGGACGCGTAAATGGCCAACCGCCTTCCAAACCTCTCTCCTATTGTGCCGGCGACATTTACAAGTTTTCACTACGTAGGTACGCGTGTATTCGGTCACAGAATGTTACGGGCCGAGCGATAAACGACTCCTGAACGAGCAAGGCGTGCCCCGTGCGGACTAAATAAACCTCGACGAGGGGATGCTGATGCTACGATCATTTGCGAGTTCTACCAGGAAAGACGGAAGACAGTGACGCGATAACGGTTCCATAACGAACAGCTGATGGTCGTTTCGAATTGTTGCAACACGCAAATTCGGTCCGGGTCGTAAATCGGTCAGGCTCTTCGTTCGGTGTGTAAATCCTCGGCTAAAATATCGGCCAGACTAAATATGCGGTTCGCTCGTGTGTCGCGTAGCTGCGACGACGTACGACGCGATCGTAGTAGCCACGGGGACGCGAAAAGACGACACGGCCGAGAGGTTGGTCCGGTCGCGGCACAAAGAGTTATAGGTGACAACGAGGCGGGATCGTAAAGCGGAGGATTAGACTCCTTTCGGCTATTAGTCTAATATATGCCTTCCGATATGAAAAAGCTGGACGTGATTCACCGCGAACCTCGGCCTCGGACTTTAAATTCAGATCTGCCGACCGCGAGGTAGCGTACTCGCAATAAATAAGAGGAACGATTAACGGGCATTAAGTAAAGGCAACGATATCGAATACGAAGATTCTGCTAATTGCAACCCTGAAATTCAACCCCTTCTCGATCTTCGCAACGTCGTCGTCGGGGCGATCCCGAAGGCACGCCGTAGAGACGAGTAGGAGCGAACATTCGGTTGGTCACGGTCGCTGGTTAACCATACGTCGCGGGACCCCACAATGGCGAACTTCCATAATACGTATTGTAACGCAATATGTACCTGCCTATGCCTATACCAGCTAACACGAAACGCTTCGGAGAACGCGCGCATTGTGATGTCCCATCGCGTCGTAGAGACACGGCGCGCTACGGCCTCGTCACCCTGGACCAGCCCCATAAGTTACGACGAACATACCCTCCCGTTTATACACCCTGCACTAGGTGTGTCCCCTCGTCTCGCTTTCTGCGGTCGCACGCTCTGTCAGAGGCGTGATTTTCGAGGCTGCGTTGGACTTCTTTCGTGGATTTCCTTTCTGTTTTTCTACCTTAGAAAATTACGATTTCGAGTAGCCTAAACGAGACACTCGTGAGAAGAAAACAAGTTGTAGTACGTGTGTTTTTACTTCGTCCTGCGATATTCCTATCGGTTCAAAAATAATAGGACATTCAAATTTCCTGTGTCCCGTGAAATCGATACTTCGTCCCTGTTTATTATCTCGCATAATCCGATCTACGGCGTTAAGCGAAGAGTAATCCCGCTTCGTTCGACTTATTGCCTTATTTACACAAAGGTAGATCGGTTTCGCAGGGATGAGAGAGAGAGAGAGAGAGAGAGAGAGGGATCGTATAGGGCTGGGGTAGAGAGCTCGTACAGCGGGTTTGTACACGCCTCTATTCAGAACGGCCATGAGGCCCCATTCTTGGGATTCGAGTGGTTTCGCTTTCGGTCCCCTTGTCGACGGAGTAGCACATCACCGGGGTATGACTTTCAAACTTGAAAGCCTGTCGACGGGAGGTCCTCCGAGGGTCCCCCGCTGCAGGCTTTCCTACGGTATTCGCGGTTTCGTGTCAGTTTCGGGTATACGCGACACGCTGTCCATTGAAACCGATACTCGTTCCCTTCGACCGGCTCTCCACCCTCTGACGATGACGATCGTCGAGTCGATCGTAAAGTCACGAAACGATTCTTGCTTCCTCAACAATTCGAAGGCTCGAGGAAGCTTTCAAAGGTTCGTTGTATCCTACACTTATCTCGACAATTTTCACGAGATTCGCGAAGCAACGAACGATCGATCACGTTAATGGGAAGGGGTAACCGAGATGATAATAAGAGAAACCGAAAGTATCGTGGCGGCAGCCTTCTATCCCGCGAGAGAATAAGAAGAAGAGAGCCGAAGACTTCCTGGTGCGAATAGGAATAAGAACGATCCCCGGCTCTTTCTTCCCGATCCCGAGGAGCATCGCGCATCTTCTGGGTCCAGGTGACAAGTTGACAAAGTGGCTCGCTACGGGTATCCTCCTTTCGAAGGAAGGATACCGCGAAAGGTGCCGTGGCTGGGGAGGAAGGGGGCGAGGTGGGACGAGAAAAAGGAAGTGGTCCACGGAAAATAATGCCTCTCCGGTTTTTGTGTTCAGAGTTTCGCAGCGGCTTTTCAAGTGGCACCAAGGGCACGAGCCTCTTTTCACGCCTACGTAGAAAAACTCGCGCGCGGTCCCATGGGGTAAAACGATCCCCCGCAGGTATACAATGGTCAACGATCCACTCGAGAAGCCACTCGAAATCTATTTAAATCGCCATCCGATTTCTGGTTCTCCAAAGCGCGACACAATGTAACGCGACGTCTCTCGCTCCCCGACGCTGCGGTCTCTCACCGAACGGACTTAAAAGATTCGTCTCGCGATTAGCTACGAGTCGTCTGCTAATAGCGCGACCGAAACCGAAACCGACGAGACCAACCGTTAAGTATATAATAAATGTGTATTATACCTTTGCGAGAGGTACAAGCGGGCATCGACTATGCGCGATAATGAGAACGCGTTAACGGAGAAGCTGTCCATTGAAAATTATGTTCGACAGACGCGTTCGTTAGACTCTTCCTCGACCCGGAAGGGATTAGCAGCTTCGCGAACGTTGTTCGTCTCCGATAATACATAATCGATTGGAAAATCTCGCGCGGCGTCTATTCCGATAACGACTGCTAAACGATTAATAAATTATTTATTCGACCGCCGGATTCGCCGATGTCACGATCGTGATTCGGTTGAGGGGATCGTCGCGGGAATTCGAGCAAATAACCACGCGCGCCGGTCTCCTCCTCGTCTCCGGTACGAGTCCTTTCAGAGCGCACCCATATAACTTCGGATCAGGCTGATGCACCATTTTGCGCCTTACGCCGACAATTTACTGGACCACACACACGCACTGGACGTCATCCTGAAAGGTCCTTTCGCGTGGGATGCGCCGCGTCGCGTCTCGGATCTGATCTTACTGCTATTTACGATTTCGCCCTGCGTCTGCGTAGGTATGTTTTATAGTTGCATCTTGCGTGTGTATCCCCACATCCAACGCATGTTCGCCCATAGATACATGGGTGTAAACCCATCTCCGGCGCAGTTCCGGTAGAATGCTCTTTCTTGATTGTAATTTCTTGCTCGATACAATTAGATCTTGTAGTACAGATCCGTGGGTGTCGGTCGCTGGTATCAACTGAAACTGCGGTATTGATAATGAGAGATTCTGAAGCCAAAGATTCCTCTCATCCGTTTCTTTTTTACGCATTTTGATCCTCGTCAGCCTCGTTAGACCGCAACGAATCCGGGGAGTGGGAAATACGCGTACGTGTGGATAACGCGATTAATCGTACGGAAGAGGGCTGGTCGGTTAAGTCTTGATTCGTCTGTTAAGAATCATGCGATTTCATCCGGGTCCGTTTCGTAGAAGTACCCACGCTTCGTGTAATCACATTTTACTTGATCGTCGCGTTGTAAACATATACTCGCGCTGAACTCGGCTAAAACTTATGCTTACCTTCATGACTGTTCGTGGCTTAGAACGACCAGTCAGTTCGTCTCCTCGACGATCAAATCGGCAGCCCTTCCTACTAGCAAATAGTTTATTGATCACAATAACGTAATTCGCGATCGACACTTGAATCCGCGGTTCCCAGGGGATGAACGAGTGACCGCGAGGATGCGACAGCTACGCCCGAGGAGCGCAGCATGTTCCGATGCCGTGAACGATGCCGAGTTCAAGCGATATCGTGATTCCCGGACCGGCAACCGAACTCGAACTCGAACCCGGACCCGGACCCGGACCGGCTACGGTAGCGAGTAACGTACGGCGAGAACTCACGGACACGGCGAGAGTTCTGGTACAGTGTCTCCCTGTCCAGTGGTCGTGGCTTCCATGATTCGATGGGCGACGGGAATTCTCCCATTGGTCGACCAGCGACCCGCCTGCTGGCAAAACTGAAACCAACGTCGAGAGCGCGGGCGCGCAGCCTCTGGATCCGAAGGATGCTGCGCTTTTTTGATTGGTCGCGAATGCTGCGATCATTCTCGAAGATCCGTCTCTCGAGACTACCGACGAGAGGGGACCGCCGTAATTGCAGGGCGCGTTCCGATAGGTTACGGAAGGGGTGCGCACCCAGGGGTTGGAAACCCTTCCGCGAGATTTCGAGGGGAACCGGAGATTTTTAAGATGTTTGCCAAATCGCGCCTCTCGTCTTTAATTGGATCCTGCCGTTTCGAAGACGCAACAGCTCGGCTGGTTGGATTCTTGAAAGAAGCGACGGGACTTCAATCCACCGGGAACATGCGTACTTGAATATTTACAAGATCGTGACACGAGCCTCTTCGCATGTGACGAATCTACGCGTGACAATAAGTAGAATAGGAGAACCACAAGTTGGCGGCGAGTCGTTATTATTTATGGAAAAACAAGAATCCTCTCGGTCCACCGTCCGCCTCCCTTTGGTCAGGTCGAAGCACCGTATTTTATACACAGTCGCGACAGTCGGTTTCGCAAACGGTGGAACGACGTCGCCCATGTGTTTGAAGGTTCACACGTCGTCCGATATCTATGACGATCCTGGGTAAAATTCCGACGACACAATTGACTCCGTTCGTCTATATTTAATTTGCAGAAGAACGTGTAATCGTGCGAGATCGTTGACTAAAAACGCGATGACACGACGCGACGGTGAGAGCAAACAGAGCGTTCGTTCCGCTCCGCGCTCGGCAATCCCCGGGCTAATCCAATTTAGCGCGCGCCTCCGTTTGTTCACGTGATTGAGGCGAGAGATATTTAGCATATCGATCGTGTAATTATGCCGGCAGCTCGCTCGGCTCCACGGAGTCTCCCACCGGGTCGAGTTTCGTGGCACACATACCCCGAGATGAAGAGGTAACGCTGTAGGAGGCGAGAAATAAAAAGTAAGAAGCCCGGAGAATTCTCAGCTGGGGGTCGGGGCAAGGGTTTTCGTCCGGTCGAGTTTCACGATGCGACCACCTGGCCGCATAGTTGCACCTTGTAAACGGCCGGTGTCTACCGACGCTAATAAACGGAAACACGGACGAGCGTCGGCGTTCGCCGGAGATTAATCGACACGGATTTGTCATGGACGTTACGAGAGAGAGAGGTATTCGTGGAGGCTCTTCTGGCTCCGGTTCGACTCGCCCCGCGCCCATCGTCGACGTTTCGTAAGATCCGCGAACGGAACGAAAATTAACCGACGGAATCGAATTGTTTCTGTCGTACACGCTCGTTTCTAACTGATTTATCGCCGTTCTCGTTCCGCTGACTAAGCTGTTTCGATTAACGAAAACCGAGACCGGCGAACGAATACGAGAAAAAATGAATCTCCGCTTTGATCGGCGATGGCAGATCCCATGCCGCTCCGCTCAGTATGCGATGGACAAAGAGGGCGAGATGCCTATCTACGTTACGCGGGCGAGGCAAATAGAATTTTTTTGCCAAGATAAGAAGGACGTTCGTTTGCTAGTCGACCACTATTGTATCCGGTCGAACGACGATCGCTCGACCGTGAAACGTGCACTTGTCGTCACGATAATTTGGCCCTCGACGAGCCATCCGAAAAATTTGCTCGATCGATCGAACAAAGGGCCCCCGCTTCTAGGATGCGAATCTGCTGCCCCGCGAGTGAATCGCCCTTCGGAAGTGACACCCCTTCCCTGGAAACCAGCGGGATCCTAATTGCGCGAGAAAACCACCGTCCGGCGTGTAGCCACTTGAACATTAGGGAAGTCGTTGCAACAAATTTCGCTGGAGGCACTTGCGTGTAAACGTGTCCTCGTCCACTCGAATTTCTCGGAGATCGAAGAAAGGTGTGGACGAGGCGAGGAGACGAGAGCGGAGAGAAGAAGAGAAACGAGGAGGAACGGTTATTACCAGGTGAAGCGACCGAAGCGGGCACGTATAATCTCAGTCATTGGTAACGAAGGATTCTACCGTGCTGTCAATTCCTTCTAGCGCGTGAAAAGGACACCGATATTATTAATGCTCTCTCCACACTCCGGTGCGCGAGAGCTAACGATTATTTACCTCGAAATATTTATACCGTATCTCCATACACACCCATTATCGCGGGTGTATGATAAATGCCTGGTATGAAAAATCGATTTTATTGTCGGAACAGGCCCGAGCATTCCATCCGTCCATCCGTCCGTCCGTCCGTCTGTCCGTCCATCCGTTCTCCTCCTTTCTCGTCGCGTCCCGGTCGCGATCGTACGTGTAGGTAAGTACTTACACGCGCGTTTCCACCGTATCGTTTCGACACACGTTTCGCCCGTAGCTATGCGTATGGTGGTCCATCCGTAGGGTGATGGATACGCCTACTTTTGATATTTCGGTGATCAATAACGTTTCTCGGTGCCGTTCGCGGCGAGAACGAAGATCCATTATTCACCCGCAGTCGCCGCGGCCGCAACCGCGGCGGTGAATAAATAATTTACCACGTCATACCGGCACCATCGAGCGGGACTGACTTCGCACTGCCTAGCCCGGACCCAAAGCTCGACTCGTCCACCTACGTCCCGTGTCCGTGTGTTCGTTTGTCGAACCTATCCGTGTTGCCTATTCTCTATCCATGTGCCAAATGCCTTCGTATCGTGGCTTTGGAAACCGAACTTTGGTAAATCACGTCCTTCGATACGCTTCAAATACGCCCCTCGTCTCTCGTGTTCTCGCGTGCAACGATACGTCCTCCGTCGACGGACTGGCTATCGCGGTCGGAACGGGAAAGACGTCCATAAAAACGGAATCGTCGTAAAACAGTGGTGGTCTCGCCTCGATTTCTTCCTCGTCTCGATCAGAAGGCAATTACAATGTTAATAAGGATAAGGTCTCTTCCGGCCTTGGTCCGATCGTTACGATTTCGCCTGTCGGCTGGTAGAATGGAATCGTAAATGTTGATATATGTACAGCGAGAAAAGAGATTAGACCTTTATAGAGAAACGATCCGCGCGGGTTTATTAGGATAGGCCGCTCAGCGACGACGCTGTGAAACGATTTTTAATACCGGCAATTAAAATATGTTAAACTGCTACTTAATATCGTACGTCTGCGCGCCTCGTCGTATTTCATGTTTAACGCGAAACCGTAACTCGCCGCGGCTGCCCCGCTCAGTTTCCTTCGACTCATAATTTATTTATTACCACGGCGGCCGGGGCACCGTCGGGGCCCACCTGCAAACTGCTCCAGGCTCCCTTCTTCGAGTTGTTCGAACGCGAAGCAACGCGGAACGATGTAGCGAGCCAGGTTTCTTAAATAAATGCGAGTGTCGCCAACCAACGTACGCAATTATCATTAGCGGTCGTAAGACGTCGACGAGGGATTCATTTGCGAAACAGTGTGGCATCCGATCTGCGCGTATTTCACGGGGAAACACGTTTACGAGCGAGAGCGTGCCACTATCATCGCAGGCCGTCGCGATTTTTTATTGACAAGGGTCGTTTGCATGCCTGATTACGAAACGTCGAACAGTTCGCCAAGAATACTTTTCAGAGATCCGGTGTCAGCGACGTCGTACACCTCGTTTGCCGGTTTATCAGTTTCTGTATTTTCCGGGGACGAGACTCGGACAAGTTCGCACGGAGAATGGGGGAACGGTGGAAATTCTGATTCAAAGTCTCGAGGGTGCTCGGAAGGGAAATGGCAAAGAAGTCGCGAGCGGCAATCACGGAGCTAACCCAATCAACCGACCTTCCCGTCTCTCTCCCACTGTTTTCAGCTCCCGGTCTTTCGTTCAAAGGAATTCGGCTCCTCGAATCGCGGTGGATAGGCACAGCGTTTCCCCCGCGAGGTATCACCGAGCTCAACGCTTAATTTCGCGAGTATCGCGTTGGATCTCGTCGAATACTTTGAACACCGTGGAGATGAGAAATGTTTTTACCGAGATTCGTTCTATGCCCATATTTCAAAAATCCTGTCGCGGTTTTCTCGTTTCGCCACTCGTTCCTTTTCTTCCTCCTTCGTTCTCGTCCCCTATGTTTTACCCTCTATCCTGGTCACGAATATCGTTCCTTCATAGTTCATATATCAAACGCTTAGGCGAGGCGGCGACACATAAATACCCCGTACGCGGTGCCCGTATAAAAGCCTCTCTCTCCCTCTCTCCCTCTCTTGCTTTCTCTCTGTCTCGCGTATCCCACTAGGTGAGATATAATATATTAACCCGAGCAGACCGCGTGGGTTTCATGATTTTCGGGGACACTCGGCCTCCTCGCCTGTTCCCGTCTCCGTTCGATAAATGATAGGAACCGAGGTGTCCTCGTCGGATCGTCCATTCTTCGCCGCGCTCGAATGACTTATGAGCCGACGGCGGCACGGCGCGGCGGCTTTAAGTCCCATCGCGCCGCTATCGCGGGATTATAGAGAGCCACGCAACTTACAAACGTATAATGATCCTCGTCGCTCTTTGCTCGCGCGTCGCTGCAGTTTCGCAGCTGATCGATGCGTCTTCGCTCGGCCTTTTAGTTTTTAGTTTACGAGGAAGCGAGGAGAGTACGGAGAATCCGAGACACGGAGCGAACGAGCATTCGTGGCAGCGAAATGAACTTAACCGGAACGAGGGTCGAAAGGGAGGAGACAGTTTGCGTTAACAGCGTTTGATCTCGGTTTATCCCCCGGGGACGCTGGTAACAATGCCTTATGTCGATTCCGCGTACCGGATGAGCGACGAGCACGTACATCGTCGAGCCGTTCGCGGCTGTTCTCCGGCTAAGAAGTTTCCAGGGTAATCGGATCATTGGCCTACTCTGGCTAACTATCGTCGTGCCGAGAATTGGTACGCTGCGATCGCAAACTATCCAATTTCCCCGTTGCCTACAGCGAGCAATTT